CTTCCTGGGGCTCAGCGTTTGGGGTTTGTTTCTGACTGGGAACTGTAGCAGGACCTAGTGTGTAACCACCAGCTGTCGCTATAGCAACTCCTCACTTCCAGCAGCCTCACACTAAAAATAGATCACCTTCATCCCAGGGTAGAAAAATCAAAGAACATCGAACGGGGGCGGGGGCGGGCCGGTCTGCTCAGCCGCAGGTCCCCAGAAGGGTTTCGAGGGGCACCAGTGTGGCTGCTAGGGGCCTTTTTAGCCACCTACCTGAAGTGGGGCGGACCAAAGTGGATGGCAAGTCTGCCTGCGAGCGTTCTCAGGCCCACAGGGACGGGCCCATCTCCCCTGCTTTTGACCTCGTGTTGTCATCTCCTTTATAGTCTGAGCCACAGAATTTAATACTGAATTATAAACAGTCATTTCATTTGGGCTTATTCAGTTTCTTAATCTTAAATCTTAATTCTTCTATGGGATCGTAAATATTTTTCAAGGTCAAATACTTAATTAGCAGGGTGGTACGTGAATTCAAAATCCTGTCATATGAAAAGGAGTTGAAAGACTTGGAAATGTTGGCGTGGACAGGGGTGAACCCGGGGAGGGGTGGGGACGTCTCCCGCGGTGTGAAGGCCTGTCGCACTGATGCAGGATTCCCTCGTTCTCTGGCATCCCCTAGGAAGACAGAACTCGGCTCCAGGGGAGGAGAAATACTCCCCCATGAAAATATATGTATTTTTAATGCCTTTTATTCCATTTAAAAAATCTTAAAAGTAAGATAGCGTTTTGAAATGTTTGAAAGCTGGGCAAAATCTGACATGGCCAGCATCCACAAGGCCCTCTCGCGGGTCTCTAAGGAGGACAGCGTGTAGAGATGGTGGCTTCGGGCAGGGGGTGCCCCGTGTGGACAGGGCCCAGCCGAAGCGGGCTCAGGGTAGGTGGCAGTCCTCCAAAGGTGGCTGTGAAGACTCACTGTGCCGCCCTGAGCACCCTGCCCCGCACACAGTAGGCCTTCAGCTGTGTTAGTGGTTATCGCCCAGGATGTTCCAGCCGAGGACGGGTTTATTTTTTTTTTTTAAGTTTTGGGTTTTTTTTTTTAAGATTTTATTTTTTTCCTTTTTCTCTGCAAAGCCCCCTGGTACATAGTTGTATATTCTGCGTTGTGGGTGCTTCTAGTTGCGTGCCTCAGCTTGGTTTGATGAGCAGTGCCATGACCGCGCCCAGGATTCAAACCAACGAAACACTGGGCCGCCTGCAGCGGAGCGTGTGAACTTAACCACTCAGCCACGGGGCCAGCCCCCGAGGACGGGTTTTTACAGGTTGGATGGGAGACTTGCTGAGGTGCTCTCTGAGGTCCTGGCAGAAACAGAACGGAGATGTAGGCAAGAATAGGAAGCGAGCTGAAACGTCGGGTGGTCGGAGCCAGCCGTGCAGGATGCAGCCCTCTGTGCACGGGCAAGGGGCAGGCAGGGGCACCATGGGTCCTTGGGCTGGGACCTCCCTAAGGAGCCCCCTCTCGGCTCCACGGGACCCCTCACTGCCTGTGAGCCACACATGGCGACTTGTAGTGTGATATGCCCACTCCTTCTTTTGCATTTTTAATATTTTGGTAAAATATACACAACATAAAATTTACCATTCTAACCATTTTTAAGTGTACAGCTCAGTGGCATAAACTATTCACATGGCTGGGCACTCATCACCACTATCCATCTCCAGAACTCTCTTCATCTTGCAAAACTAAAACTCTGTCCCCATTAAACAACTACTCCCCATTCCTCCCCTCCCCCAGCCCCTGGCAGGCCCTATTCTACTTTCTGTCTCTGACTCTGACTAGCTCGTACCTCACCTAACTGGAACCATACAGTGTTTGTCTTTTTGTGTCTAGCTTACTTCCCTTAGCATAATGTCCTCAGGGTTCATCCCTGCTGTGGCATGCATCAGAATTTCCTTCCTTTTTAAGACAGAATTCTGTTATGTGTAGATACCACATTTTGCTTATCTGTTCATTTGTCAGTGGACATGGTCATCTCTCCCTGCCTGGATTGTGAGCCCTTTGAGGCAGTAATGGGCCTCGTTCCTCTCAGCCTAGGCCTGGTTGTGGCACCCACTCCGCGTACGGTGAAATGAATGGCCCCACGGCTGCCATGCCCCTCCAGGGCTGCACCGCACGCCTGTTGGCCGAGAGGCATCATGACGCCATGGCTGTGTGTAATGGGGAGGTGCTGGGAGCCTGGAGGCCTCGTCTGAGTTATTGCTGGGGTGTCAGGCCTGTGGGGCTCTGAAGGAGCAGCCACCTGCCACATGACGAGGACACAGTGCGCACCCCCTACCCACAGTCTGATTTCCTAAAGGTACAACCTTCCGCTCAGTCGCATGCCAGAGCTTTTAGGTCCTGGCATCACCCTCTGTCACAGCATCCCTCGCAGAGGCCTCTGTGCCTCTTCAAGCCTGTACCAATCGGCTCTTAACAGCTAAGCACAGTTAGCTTATCACAGAGGGAGGCACCGGAAGTGGGTGAGGAGGAGTGACTGGGTTAGGAAATGTGCAGGGGGCTGCAACACTGGGCGTGGCCTGGGGGCACAGGGTCCTTAGAGAGGGTCCAAGAAGCCCGGGAGGCTTTCGGGGAGGGAGGCAGTGGGACTTGGAGACATGCCTGGCATTTGCTGCAGGTGAGTGAGGACCAGCCCTGCCTTTTGAGTGGTCTTTTGAGTCTTCCAGGCCCAGGGGGCTATGAACAGCACAGCCCGCGGGAGTCCCCTCCTTCCCTGGGTCCAGTGTCTCCAGGATCAGGACAGGGCTGACTCACTGTGGAGACACTCACTCCTGGGCTTGCCAAGAGGAGGGAGAAGGGCTCTGGGGGCTAGAAAGAGCACAATGGTGTGTTTGGTTTATTTGGCTGAAACATGGACCCAAAGGTGCCCACACTAAATGGAGACGAAAAGCCAGACGTGCCCTGGGGTGTGAGAGAGGCAGGTTCCCAAAGGCTTACAAGATTGGAACGCTAGTGTAGGTTATCAGGGATGACCTTCTCACCCCTCCGTCAGGAGCATCCAGAGGACACACCTTTCACCATGACAGATAATTTGTGAGGGGAGCCCAGAATCCTTGAAGAGCTCTGTGGTCACTCTTCTCAGTAGGTCAGAAGTTAGAGCGGGAACCTCAGCCACCGAACTGGAAATCCTAAGGGTGATGGGGATAACTGGACCCCCGGATGGCAGGGCCAAGAAGCAGCACTTCGTCACCAAAGACAAGCTGGGCGTGGTGATGGCAGGGACGGCAGTCAAAGCCACAGTGAGAATGGTCTGACCGCACAGACTTACAGTGTCGGCTAGCTGATCGGTGTTCCTAGAAGTGAGAGAGATGGGAAGCCTACTGAGTTCTTACTTGATCTGCATAAGCAGAAGAGTTCTTGGTCAAGTGAACAGAAGTCTAACTCGGATCATAAAAGCAGAGTCAGTTCCCAGCCTGGGGCCAGTTTACAGACCTAGGGCCCCTCGAATGAAGGGGAGGCCGGGTCCCCATGAGGAAGGACCCGTTACAATAGTGAAAGTGTGTGTTGTTACTCTTTACCCCAGCCCTCTCCAAAGGGACCTTTCCCCACGGCCTTTACCATGGTGACTGCGTTGGGAAAAGGTAATAATTAGCCTCTTCAGAGATGACTGGACCCTGAATCTGAACTGACACTAACCCCAGAGACGCAAGGCATCGCCGTGGCCCACCCATCCCAGCAGGAACTTATGGAGGAGAAAGAGCTGACGGCTCCAGGCTCCAGCGTAGATCGCTAGCTCCCGCTCAGTGGAGGGCAAAGCCTTTCCTGTCTGGAGTCCTCGGTTTCCCGTTTCTGGAGGGGAGACCTCAGGGAGCGGCAGGGAGGGGCTGGGGTGGGGCTGACGGAGCTCAGAAGTGGGGAGCCAGTTAGAGGACTCAGAGGCATTTGGGGAAGTGGGGAAGGTCATTCAATCAGGACCTGCGGGCCTGCATCTATCTAATCAGCTTTGGGGTGTGTGAGCAGCACATCCATAATAAGAAAGTGCCGGCTGATGTGACAGCCCAGGAGCCGGATGGGTGCCGAGCTGTCGGCTGACGGGGAGGCAGAAGCGCCCGCTCTTGAGTCCCCTGCCCACACAGACCCCCTCCAGTGTCACAGCTGCTGCCTCACTTTGTCCCCCCAGAACCCGCTGGTTTCAGAATAGGAGGAGTTCTGCCTTCCCTTCTCTGCCCTCAGTGACTCTCCTTCCTTTATCAGAGCAAAGCCCTTCTTTCCACAGTGAGAGATAAGCCCCCAACAGGAGCCCTGGGGAGAGTGACTGAGAATAGATCCTTTTGCAGGAGCAGGTCTGGATGCCGAGGGGAGGAAAGGAACCCAAGGGCGCTGTGTCCTTGCATCAGGGAGGAGAAGATTGGTGGGGTGGGCGGGGCGGGGCAGGTGGAAGAGGAAGGAGGAATTTTCAGACAGTCCTACAAGCACAGCTGTGCCCAGCGCCCAGCGTTGGTCTCGTAGGCCCCCAGCCACAGGTAGGGAGGAGCGCTTAGAGTTGCTCAGAGGATTCATGCCAAGGACAGTCCCAGGCCCCTTGGCTAGGATACTCAATCTTTGTGCTACGTCCACAGGGGATGTACAGTGGGAAGGAATCTAGAAGGCCCTCGGCCCAGCCTCCTGCTTCCAAGAAAGTGAAATATCGTTGCACCTGTTTTACAGATGAGGCATCTGGGGCTCAGGTTATGTGATGTGCACAATGCCAAGGAGCTGAAAATGTTGGAAGTTCACAGATCAGCTTCAGTCCCTAACATAGTATTGTTTTGTTTAAATACATATGCAACTGAATAGGTAATACACGTGCATGTTAGAACATTCAAAATGTATGAAAAGGTATGTGGTAAAAAGTCAGACCTTCTTCCACCCGGGACCCCGGTCTCTCAGAGGCTACAGTTACTGCGTTTCCTTTCCGAGATAACCTACGCATGTACAAGCTTTTTAGTTTTGTGTACAGATGGAATCATATCATACATACTGTTCTACAACTTGCTTTTTAACCGCTTAGCAGTTTCTGCTGGCAGTCATTTCCTGGTAGTGTGGGAGAAGATGCCTTGCTCTTCTTCGTGGTTGTATAGTACTCCGTTGTAGAGCCAGTCTATGAATCACTGAACCCGTCCTCTATTAATGGAGCTGTTCTCAGTCCTTTGCTAACAAAAAAAAAGTTGCAACAAATATCGTTTTACACACTTTTTGTGCGTATGTGTCAATATATCTGTGATATAAACTCCTAGGAGTAAAATTGTTGGCTCAAAGAATGTCTTTCTGGTTTTTATTTTTAAGATTGGCACCTGAGCTAACATCTGTTGCCAATCTTCTTGTTTTTTTCTTCTTCTTCTCCCCAAAGCCCCCCACTACATAGTTGTATACTCTAGTTGGAGGTCCTTCTGGTTGTGCTAGGTGGGACGCTGCCTCAGCATGGCCTGACAAGCAGTGCCGTGTCCACGCCCAGGATCTGAACCAGTAAAACCCTGGGCCGCTGAAGCAGAGCACACAAACTTAACCCCTCAGTCACAGGGCCAGCCCCTGTCTTTCTGTTTTGATAGCTGTGGCCAAATTGCCCTCCGAGGAGGCTGTCCCATGTCTACTCTCACCTAAATGAGAGCTCGGGTCCCCCACATCCTGGTTTCAGAACTGCACTGTGATGCATGGCTGTGGCGCTAGCCCAGGGGCAAGGATGTGTGCCTGAGGGCGCCACTGCCTGATCAGAACCCACCCTCACCTGGATCTGTGAGCGTCCTAGGGCCTGACAGTGGAGACGCCCCTCCCTGTCCTGGCTCAGCCCATGGCTCCTGCCTCCCGCCTCCCTGTAGCCTGTGCTCCAGGCTGCCTCCACTACTCCGCCCAGCTCTAAACCTGCTGTGTGAGCTCGGGGATCCTGGGTCATCCTAGGGGGTCCTGCCTGAGTCACCCCCTCCTTTGGAAGTCCCTCCCCCAGGGGGGTTTTCTGGGCCCTCTCCCTGCAGCCACCGTGCCCCCCCACCCTTTCCATTCCTTCAAGCCACCTGTAGTGCTCCTGCACAAGGGCTTACTGTCAGGAGTCCTTGTCACCAGTGTCCTTGTCTGTCTCCGCCACTAGCCTGCAAGACCCTTTGGTCTCCATGTCTTCAGCCCTGAGATCCTTGCTTGAATGAATAAATGAAAGAACCCAGGGCTCCTTCCGTTCCAGGAAATGCGTCCTGCTGTGGATTCCAAGTCATTTGTCCGCCAGCTTGGGTTCAAGAAACTTCAGTAACTCTGGAGATTTGAATATTTGTAATCTGTTCTATGGAATGTGGCCCTGAGCCAACAAGATCCTATCTTCCCTCTGGTTAGATCTTTCATCTCAGTGCACCCTGTGAGACCTGGAGCCACCTGGCCTCGCCCTGGCCTCCCCTCCACATGTCCACACCAGCCTGATGCTCCCAATCTCCTCTTTTGCACTCCTTTCAAGAAATACATGTAACTTGAGATATAACTCACATCCCGTACAGTTCACTCAGTTAAAGTGTACAATTCCGTGGTTTTTAGTATCCGCACAGTTATGAATCCATCATCACCATCAATTTCAGAATATTTTCATCCCCACCGAAGAAACCCTGTACCCTTTAGCCATCACCCCCCGTTTCCTCCCACCATCCCCCACTCTCGCAGCCTCTGGCAACCAGTGCTCACTTCTGTCTCCGTGGATTTGCCTATTCTGGACATTTCATGTAAATGGAACCCTTGGATATGTGGCCTCTGTGATGGGCTTCTTTCACTCAGTGTCATGTTTTTAAACTTTTCAGTCTTTCCCCAAGCAGCCAAGAAATCGGGACCCCTCAAAGTTTGGGGATAACCCACTAGTGTCCCTGAACTTGGCTCCACAGGAGGAGGGTACCAGGGGAAGCCAGACTTCTATAAGATAGCCGAGTGACAAGGGAGACCTCTCTGCTCTCTTGGCCCTGTCAGATCTGAAGATAGGTGTTAAAATAGGTATTAAATACAAAATAGTATTAGGCATTACACCTACCTGTAGGAGCTGTTCCAGCAGGATTTTGCAACGTAGGTAATATTAACATGCAGGAAACAGCAGCCAGCTCTCTCACCAAGGGCTGCAGCCAGTGCTTGAGGAATTCTGCGAGGGTGACAGGTGGGAAGGAGTAGTCAAGGAAGGTTGCAAGGAGGAGGTGGCCCTTGAGCTGGGCCTTGAAAGGGCAGCAGAGCTTGGATCGGCAGATGAGGGGGAAGAATTCTAGGTCTGGGCTAGAGCGTGGTGTTTGCACAGGGTCGCCATGGGGACCAGGGGTACATGAGTCACAGTGGAATGGTCAGGACAGACAACATCCACGAAAGCAATTTGAAAACAAACTCAGTAGTCTGTAAATGCATGACGGGGCACTGGCCTGTGGTTGTGAATACGCAAAGGCAAAACATACGTCCCTTTCAGACAAACTGAATTTATGCTCAGATCTTAGAGAGGCCCACCTTGCTGCTCCCCAGCCCCTAGGGCAGAACATTCTTGATGTCCCCATATGGTTCCAAGTGCGTGCCCCTGCTGTCACAGGTCCAGCAGCCAAGGGGACCTGGAGCATGCAGCACAGTGGTGGCACCACTCCTGCGAGAGCTGGCAGTTACTCTGGGTCCTGGACGAGAGGGAGTGCTCACGGGAGCCAGGTCTGAAGTCACTCAGCCATAGGGCCAGCCGGCTACTGCATCATTCTGCTGGCCTCTGGTCCCGGTCCTGTCGTGGGTTTTGAGCCTCAGTCCTAAATGGAAAGCAGTTCCAGAAAGATGGATGAGACAGTGGCGGAAATAGGAAGGGGGCATTTCCGAGCATGGAGAGGGGAGAGGGCCCCATCAGACAGATGCGGGCTCTGCAGGACGCGGGACTGATGGGATGTGAGCAGCACAGGGCTCTGGCGCCTATGTCCACGGTGGGCGATGCTGAGGAAGGAGAGAAAGGGGGAAGCGCAGGCTCGGGAAGGGCACTGGGACTGGGCTGAGCTGAGGAGTCAAGGGACTGGCAAGGGCCCGTCCTGTGGGCACACAGGGACATGCACCTCCCTCGGCTGCTGCCCCGGGCCTGAACAGTTGCAAGGACCTGGGAGTCATCCTGGTGCTCGTGGAGCTGTCTGTTCTCCACACAATTCACGTGTCCACTGTGGTATGTTTCCAGTTGTGTCTCCTGAATGAATGGATCCTGTGCTTGGACAGTAAAAACCAGATACCACTTCTCTTACTCTGGGAAACAGAGCCAGAAACCGAGACTCAGGGCTGAGGGGCGGGGGTGCTTTTAATTATTTGGAAGGTGACCCTGGCTAGCAGGGAGGGTGTGGGAAGAGGGAGGGGCCCCATGGGTGCATTACTGTGGTTATGGGGTAGGTCCAGGCTGGTAGAGGATCACCCCAGGGTGTTAATGCCGCTGTGCTTCAGGGCCAGGCTGAGCTGGGGGCTGAATGGACACCTGTGGCTTCAGGGAAGGCCCTGTCCGCATGGGGGAGTGTCCACCACAGCTGCCTGGGAATCAGAGGTGGCCCGGGGGATGAGCCCTGGGTCCACAAGCCCCTGCCTCACCACGTCAGGTTGCCTCAGGAAAGACAGGGTTGGAGACTAGCTCTGTCCCCTTCTGCCTATCTCTATCCCCTTTTATCCCCCTCTTTCCCCCTCTGTCCCCCTCTGCCCAACTCTATCCCCTTGTCCCCCTCTGCCCTCCTGTGCCCGTCTCTGTCCCCCTCTGTCTCCCTCTGCCCATGTCTGTTCCCCCTCTGTCCCCCTCTGGACTTGGACTCCCGGCCCCTTCTTACCAGTGTGCATCTTCTAGAGCTTGACGGTGCCTTGTTTTCAAAACAGACGACTCTGAGTGCTAGTCTTCAGAGTGTCAAGGTCTGTTCTATCTATTTTAAGAAAATTGTTTTCCACAAATAGCAGTAAGAACACAGTTTGTGTCACACACACAAAGCTTCAGTTGCCTGCAGACCAGACTCCTCAGCTAGTGGCCTCGGCTCACCCTGACAGGCCACGATGTTGTTATATTAGATAGCATCTCCTCTGTAGGGTGCTTGGGATCTGCGAGCAACAGAAAGTCTAACTCGAACTGGCTTGAACAATAATAATATTTGTCTCGGGACAGGAAGTCCAGGGCGGGGCTGTGTTCTTTCTCTGAATGTCCGTTTCGTCTTCTGCTACCTTTCCTGGTGGTCACAGGTGGCTGCCAGCAGCTAGAGCAGTTTCTGTGTCCATGTCCTGGGAGAAGAGGAAGAAGAAAGAACACCCCCCACCCTGGAATGGAGGCGCCCCGCCTCAGCAGCGCTCACCCAGGGCCAGGGTCAGTGGCCAGGCCTGCCTCAACTCCCAGGTTGTCAGCAAAGCCGGCTGACCTAGGGCCAGAGCTTGGGCGGAGCGGGGCTGGGCTGGGACTATCCCCTAAGTGCCCCAGGCAGAGCCAGTCCAGACAGCAGGGAGGAGTCCAGGGTAAGGCACAGACTGAAGGTATGACCTCTCCAGTAGTTCCCCCCAGGACGTGCCAGCTGTCTCACAGGCAAGGTGGGCAAGGGAGCCAGTGAAGTGCAGAGACTGAGGCAGGCCTCTGTCCAGTTCCTTGGTGAGGACAAACAGGGCCCCAGGCCCAAGTGGGTTCTGCTCAGCAAGACAGGAGTGATAGTGTTGGGAATGAGCCTGCGTCCTGTTGGCAGAGGGAGCAGGAGCAGGCGGGGGTGGGGGCGCCTCCGGGCTGGATGCAGGCCTGACACCTGGGGGCAGAGTGGCTGGGGAGAGCCTCAGATGGCAGCATGGTTCTGAGAATGTTCCCACCGGGTAAATGGGGCCTTGCTCCTTCAGGTGCCATGTCCTGCAGGAATAGGCCTCCACACGCGCCCACGCACTCAGTTGTGGGCGGGAGCAACCCGGGGCTGGAGGGGCATGGCCTCTGTGTGAAGAGGGAGCGAGTGGGGGCGGCTGTGGTGCAGGCCGGTGCACGCTCGCCGCTGCAGGAGGTCTGAGCAGTGCATTTTCGTGAGCCCCATAGTCCTTACATCCCTCCTGCCCAAGGCGGTAACTTGTTCAAGCAATTGCGCCAGGAGTGAGCACAGCAGGTGAATGCAGCGACCCCCCGCCATGGGCCAGGGGGCTGCGGAGGTCTCCTCATGCTGTGGGACTTTGCTGTCTGGCACTTAACACGACATCTGTTGCTTAGTTTTCATAAGGTATGTCTTGTCTCTGAGCAACCTGTGGGAGGGAGAGACATTTCATGTTTCTCCTTCAATGCTTCCATTTCCCTGAGCTCGCTTAATAGGGCCTTAATGAATATTGGTCAAGGGATCGATAAGTGAGCACAGAGAGAGTAGAAATCCGCTGTGGATGAGAAACCACGCAGTCACACGGCAGGCTCGGAGCTCCGGAAGACAGTGAGACGGGCAGCCCTTTCCGACCCAAAAGGCCGCTGCTGAAAAGAGAGAGGATGCGAGCTCTCAAATAGCACGGCGAGGCGGGCCAGGCCTGCTTTCAGATGTGGCCAGCGAGACCTAGAGAATCCATCAGGAAATTCAGAGGAGTCAGCTTTGGACTCCGTGGAAAGGGGAGGCATCCACGGCCTGGCATCAGTTAGAGTCTTAGCCACAGGCCCAGAAATTAGTTTTAGCTAGTTTGAATAGAAAGAAAAAAAATGTATCAAGTAGCTCACAGAATCCCCAGGGTGCAAAGAACCAGGCTGGGTATTCCCGAGAAGTGCCCAAAGTCACTTCCAGAGCAGGGACAGTGGACTCCCACACAGCGCTGGACACAGAGGCTGCCACCCACTGCCAGGCTATGGGCACACCAAGGGACCTCTGCTGCTGCTGTGGACCGAACTGTGTCCCTCCACTCGCCCCAAATTCTTACGTTAAAGCCCCAACCCTCCATGGGACTGTGTTTGGAGATAGAGCTTTTAGGAGGTAATTAAGGTTAAATGAGGTCATAAGGGTGGGGACCTAATCCAGTAGGATTGGTGGCCTTATAAAAAGAGGAGGAGACGAGATTTCTCTCTCCACCATATGAAGACAGAGGGAGAAGGCAGCCATCTGTAAGCCAGGAGGAGAGAGCTCACCAGAACTTGACCACACTGGGAACTTGATCTTGGACTTCCACCCTCGAGAACTGTGGGAAGATAAATTTCTGTAGTTTAAGCGCCCCCGTCCGTGGTATTTTGTTGGTAGCCCGAGCACCTTCAGACAGGCCCGGTGTCTGGAAACAGGGGTTCTGCTGTGCACCTGCTTCTCTGCAGCAGGTGTGGGGTCTGCTCAGGACCTCTGTGGTCAGTCCAGGTCTCCTAGCGACCTGCAGCCTCCTTCCTTCTGCTGTTTCCCCACATTCTTGTGGGCCAAGTCGCTGCTGCTCTTGCTTACTGTCAACACCCATTTCCCTAAATGGTTCTAGAAGCTAAAGGTGGCCAACTGCCCCATCCCCCAGGTCAGTGTGTCCTCCTCTGCCCCGGAGATGTTCCGATCTCTTAGTCAGCTGCTTGCCTCAGGCCTACATGTTTTCTGCTCTGGGTTTTAGAAACTTTTCCTTAGAGAAATTCAGACCACTAACTGGTAGAATTTCATTAATCCCTCTGCTTTGCGAAATGAATTTCTTCCGAGGCCCATTATAAGCTTGATTATGTCTAAGCCCCAGTTTCCACATCGACGTGATGGGGAAACATGTCCCCCATCTGCCTTTGTAAGCAGTTATTATGCAGCAATTCTGTGCAAGGCTGGGTTGAGCTCCGTGCTGAGGAACAAGGTTTGTGACTGCTGGGCTCTGGCGTTCGCGCCCTGAGCTGGTGAGACCAGGACTAGGGGATTCAGTTCCCATCTGGACAGGTGGGCTTGCTCTGCCCAGCCCTGCCCCTTTAATGACTGCCCAGGGTGACACGCACCAGAGGAAAGTCTCTATCCATTCCCTTGGCAAGCTCCCTTCATGTCTGCCAGTGAGAGCTTCCACACTCATCCTCCTCTGGTCTCTGCGTGTTCTTAAAAAGGGATGAGGGAACCTCACGTTTAGAGCCGTATCTGACCCCTGAGGGCTAATAGCAAGATGTGAACTCCCTGGCTTGTATGTTGTTTGTTTTTCTGCTGGTCACTGGCCCTAAGTGGAAATGCACACAGCTCTACCTAACACCACAAAATGGCAGGGCTCCCTCTGGAAGCCCTTATAACATGTCCATCTTGAGGTACATTTTCCTTAGGCCTTGGAAACCAAACCTAAGTGAAGCAGGTCAATGAGAACATTGGGTGTTTCATGAGCATTTGCTGTGTGTTGGGCACTTCTCTTATGCTGTCTTGTCTGTCCCTCAGTAGCCTTGTAATATCTGTATCCGGATGGAGACATGGGCTGAGAAAGTACAAGAAATGTGTTCAAGTTGCCCAGCTGGTAAATGGCAGAGTGGGGACCCACTCCCAGGGCTCTCCCCTAGCAGTCGATCCCACACTTCACTGTCCATGATAATCCTTTGGGGGAATTTTGGGAAAAGTGCAGATTCTTGGACTTTACCCCCCAAATTGTAATATACTTGGTCTGAGATGGGGTCCATGAATTTGCATTTTTAACAAGACTTTTAAGTGACACAGACATTAGTGTGACAACACTTACACACTGTCTTCATGAGTTGATGGTCGCTGAAGCTGGGTGATGGCAAAATGGAGGTTTATGATTCTGTTCTACTTTTATATGTGTTTAAAATTTTCCATACTAAAAAGTAAAATCACAGTACTGCGTTACACACGTGCAAGAGACCTGGCACTGTGTACTTGAAAAAGCTACAGATTCATAGCCGGGCTTGCAGTCAGGGGTGTGTCCTATAAGACCAGAATTAAAGAACAGAGTCTGCCTGCTGGGTGTGGGGCGATCAGAGCAAAAGATGACAAAGTCTGCAGTTCCCCCGCTCCCAGAAGACAGTTTAGGGCATTTAGGTTTGCAAACTAGCATATCTGATTTCTAAGATGTCAGGCTCAGAATTCTGTCTTCACTGATCCCCTTACCTTCTGGGGTTTTTGCCCTTGTGTCTTCCTTCTCCATGTTCTACACATTCTGTTATCCTGCCTCGACTTGATTATCGAGCCCAAGAAAGGAGAAATTGGAAACTGCTTCACCTCTAAAGGAAGATCCATCCACCAGGCTGAAGAGTGTTTGCAGAGGGAATCAAGACAACACCCACACAACCAGAGGCACTCACAACTAGAACATACAACTATATACTAGGGGGGCTTTGGGGAGAAGAAGAAGAAAAGAAGATTAGCAACAGATGTTAGCTCAGGTGCCAATCTTTAAAAAAAAAAATGCTCTTAAAATGATGACACCCAAACCAGCTTGCACCCCTCCGCTCCGTGGCATGGCCCCTTTCTCTGAGTGCACAAGGATGCCCCATAAATATAATTTGCTTTGGGTGCTGGGAGTCTGCTGAAAATATCCTGTACCCAAATGAGTGATGGAAAATGCAAATACAAATGGAATGAATTTGCATGAGTAGAGCATTTTTCTCCTTGGAGTTATCAAGCTGTGCATACGTCTCCATAAAAGAAAAGATCGAGGTAGGAGAGATTGTCACGTCTTCCCTCAGCAAACATGCCGGCACCTCAGTGTGTGGTTGACACTAGTGTCTGTTACCCAGCGTTCACCCCCTTTTGTGGTGATAGGAGCCTAGTTTTGCCCAGGCTCCCCTTGTGCAGCTGGCAGCCCTGGGAACTGTCCCCTTAGTTAAGCCAGTGGACACCTCCTACCCCCAGCCCTAGGGTTGGTTTTGGGGGTGTCAGCTCGTTAGATCCAAGGGCAGTTTGTTTGTTTCATTAATAGGGGTTGGGGACTTTCTCTCTCTCAGTGGACCAGATCGAGGGACCTTGCAGGGCCGTCCCCATGGCAGCCATTTGCAGCCTTGTGAGGCCTGAGAATAGGATCAGTTCCAGGGAGAGAGGGGAGATCCCTCTGTGGCTGCCTCCTTTGACTCCCAGAGCCAGCGGCACGGGGGGCCCAGGCTCAGGCACGCAGGCCCCTTCTTGTTCATTCACCGCAGGGCTGGCAGAACAGTGGGGACACACGGGGCAGGGCAGGGACACGTGAGGGTGGGGGATGCGCTGAGCAGCCTGGTGACATTGCACCACGTGACAGGCAGGCTGCGGGAAGAAGGCCGAGTCCCGGGTGGCCAGTCACACCCTGACACTGGATCTTCTCAGCTGCTCGTCACCTGAGAGGCAGCCCAGCTGCTGGGTGGGGGTGAGCGTCACACCAGGAGGCAGCACCAGGAAGTCTCAAGGCTGCTGCCAGCTCTGGGTCCCCTCAGGGAAGGTGGGCTCCTGGGGCGACTGCACCAAACACAGCCAGTGGCGCTCCTCCAGCGCTCAGCCTGTGTCACATATTCCCTGGGCCACCACTGGGCTGTGGCGAGGAAGAATCCTCGGGTCTGAGGGTTTCTAGATTGTGGGAGAGACCCCACAGGCCGGCCAGGGCTCTCGTGAAAACTGCATCTGATGTTATAATCTCTCAGTCACCCTGATAAGTAGTCTTCTGTTTCCGTTCGAACATTTCTAGTGCTGGGTAGCTTGTTCACTTACTCTTTCCTTCAACAAAGATTTGTTAACTCTCTGCAGGTTGCCCTTGCTGTGCTCAGTTTCATCATATATAAAATCTACCTCATCGGTTTTGAGGATTAAGTGAATAGACTTAAGAGTGTTTAAATACGTTAACCCGTTGAATATCAACTAAAATGTTTTCTGAAGTGAATATACCATAGTGCTCAGTAATTATTCCTTTTACTATTACTCCTGTCACTAGTACTGTCACTGTCACTTGTACTCCTGTCACTTTTACTCCTGTCACTGTCACTTCTGTCACTGTCACTTGTACTCCTCTTGCTATCACTAGTACTCCTGTCACTTTTACTCCTGTCACTGTCACTAGTACTCCTGTCACTTTTACTCCTGTCACTGTCACTTGTACTCCTGTCACTTTTACTCCTGTCACTGTCACTAGTACTCCTGTCACTGTCACTCCTGTCACTGTCACTTGTACTCCTATCACTTTTACTCCTGTCACTGTCACTAGTACTCCTGTCACTGTCACTCCTGTCACTGTCACTTGTACTCCTGTCACTTTTACTCCTGTCACTGTCGCTAGTACTCCTGTCACTTTTACTCCTGTCACTGTCACTTGTACTCCTATCACTTTTACTCCTGTCACTGTCACTAGTACTCCTGTCACTTTTACTCCTGTCACTGTCACTTGTACTCCTGTCACTTTTACTCCTGTCACTGTCACTAGTACTCCTGTCACTGTCGCTCCTGTCACTGTCACTTGTACTCCTATCACTTTTACTCCTGTCACTGTCACTAGTACTCCTGTCACTGTCACTCCTGTCACTGTCACTTGTACTCCTGTCACTTTTACTCCTGTCACTGTCACTAGTACTCCTGTCACTGTCACTCCTGTCACTGTCACTTGTACTCCTGTCACTTTTACTCCTGTCACTGTCACTTGTACCCCTGTTGCTATCACTAGTACCCCTGTCACTGTTACTCCTCCTTCTGTCACTGTTACCCCCACGCCTGTTACCTCACTGCTGTGCGTCTCACTGTCAGTGCTCTCCACCCAGCACCGGTCGGGCTCTGCTGGCACAGAGCTATGGAAAACAAAGCTCCTGGCCTCGTGGAGCTCATGCTGGTGGGAGGAGGCCCAGTGGATTCACTGTTGTTATGTATCCACTTGTGTATTAAGTCGGGCAGCAGCCAGTGGAATGAGGAGAACAAAGCAGGAGTGTGGGAGAGGGTGGTGGGTCTGGGAGAGTCTGGCCAGAGCCGGGGAGGGTGAAGAGAGCTGGGGAAGAGAGGGCAGCAGGTGCAGAGGCCCAGGTGGAAGCCCGGCTGTCACAGTCAGGGCCCGCTGGGCCTGGTGAGGGTGACGGCGGTGGGAAGGGAGTGTCGACAGGCACCAGGGCGGGATCAGTGGGGCCTGGGGGCCCTGGTACCTTGAGATTTCTTCTAATTGTGATGGGGTTGCCTGTTTCAGGGCTTCAAGAGAGAGAGGGGCCGGGAACCAGCTCTTCTTTCATTGGCGGGTGCAGCCTCTGTGTGCAGGGAATAGAGGGTAGCTGAGCTGTGTGTAGGGGGTCACGGGAGGCTATTGTGTGAGGGGGACAGTGGGGACAGGCCTAGCAGTGGAGGGGATGGAGTGCGGATATGAGCCTGGGGTGTGAGGGCAAGGCGCAGGCAGCTAGAAGGGGCTGAGACGGAATCAATCTGGGCAGAGCTGGGGTGGGAAAGTCTAGGACCCAGAGGTGGATTTAGAGTCTGCGTTTGAGACACCTCCTGAAAGTCCGCCTGCCTTTGTCGTATCTCCACGTGCACAGCTGAGCCTGGGCTCCGCGGAGAGGCACAGAAGTGGTCCCTTCCACTTTAGTGGCTGCTGTAACTGGGAAATTGATGCGAAAACGTCTTTATCATCTCTACTCTCTGCTCTTGGTTCATCCTTCTAGACTCTTGACTGCTCTTTAGGGCTCCAATGTTAATGCTTTTCCTCCTGAAAGCCCTTCTGAAAAGTGAAGTGGTCATCAAGTCCCCCGCACTCCATGTCACGTGTCCTGGTCCCCCGCGCCCAGAATTGAGTGTAGCTTGCCTGCTGGGCTCCAGTCAGAGCGGTCAAGTGCTGTTGGCAGCTCTCCTGTTGGGTGCTGGGTTTAATGGGCACAGCCCAAGGCTCCACTGGCCATCCGGCCACCAGCCCGCTGTAGCTTGTTTGGAACTTGAATTATCTGCATCGCTCAGGACTTTCCGTGGATGTAGTTCTGAGCTGTCACTGTCCTGTACTTGGCCAGTTGCATTTTTATACTCAGTTTCTCTATCAAATTTGCCGTGCTGTCCAGACATTTCACTATTCTTCTAGTCATTGCCAGCATTACCTGGGTGACACTGGTATGAAAAGAGGACAACGTATTCAGCGTGAACAGGGTTTTCTCACGGACGCAGCATCGGCCAAAGCTAACGCTGTGCTGAGGTGGTGCTAGCTGCTGCTTGAGGTGACACCAGGGGCACCATGAACCCCTGGCCCAGGCTGTTCACCTCGCTGACTCAGGACCTTAAAATCCAGCATTACGAATTCACTCCTTTGTTAAAGGAGAGGGTCACAGAATTAAAACAACTTTTATGCCCCTTAGAAGATATTTATATTCTCCATTTTCTATTTCCTCCACTTTTCTCCATGGCAAAAAGGCCTCAGGTTGGCATAGGAGGACAGAGAAGCAATGGGATGCCTCATTGAACAGTTTTTGCTGAGGCAAAACCTGACGCCAGTGGTTACTACCACTCTGAGTTCATTAATTAGGCCTCTCTGAGCCTGGTAAAAAAAAAAAAAAAAAGTCACGATAGTATTCATTATACTTTTTCTTTACAATACTTAACAGTAACTGGCTACATGGAAAGTATGAGGGGGAAAACTATGTGAGCCTTGGAGCCAGACAATCCTGGGTTCAAGTGCGGCTCAGCCAAGTGACCTTGGGCAGTATCAGGTAACTCCATCTCTCCCTACTTTGGTTTTCCCACCTTACAACAAAGGCATCACCATGCCCTGTGACAAGTGGTGGCTAGAGTCACATATGAGGGTGCGTTTACGGTGCCTTGCCGCTGCCAATGCTCTGGACATTGTCCCTACGTGTCCTTACCCCACCATCTTGGGGTTGGGTAAGAGTTTTCTGGCTAAATATCGACCGTGTTCAATGTCAGCCTTCGGGACCAGTGCCGCCTTTACTTCCTGCTTCGTGTTGGCCCCTGGCGGCCCCCTGGGAGGCGCTGGATCTGCAGGCTCAGCTGAGCCCAGCTCAATCCTTTGTGTGTCCTGTATTTGCCACCGTAGGGGAGCAGGATCTCTCCAAGGGCCCCACCTGGCTCCCCATAGGCTCCTTTCACGGGGCTGAATGGCCAGGATTGGGGGTTGGGGGTGACCAGATGGCTGAGGTGGTTAGAGAACAGATCACCTGCTCACCATCGCCCCCCAGCGAGCAGGTGATTGCAGCCGGAAGAGAGCTTTTGCCATCTGTGTTTCCATTTTTCTCCCCTCGAGGCCGCAAGCTGATCCCTCTGAGCTTCGGAGACTCTTGGGAAGCTGACCGAGGCTAGGGGGCGTGAATGAGTTTCTCAGAAGGTCACTATTGGTTCTGTAAAGCAGCAGAGGCTGCTCTGGCTGCTGGTCAGGATGAGGGAAACACAGCAGCCACACCTCAACAATGCTGCCCTGTGGCCTGGCAGCCACCAAGGCCCTGCCTCATCACAGTCTACAGCGCATTTGTTGAGTGAGAAGCCAGTGCCTTCCGTTCTCCTGCCAGCAAACTGCTGTCTAGCCCAGACAACAGCACCTCAAGTTCGGGAAGCTTCTGAGAGAGGGGGACGGGGTTTTAGTGACAAGACCCAGTTGTCACCCAGGTGCATGAGGTTGTCCTCTGACCAGGTGCTAAATGGCTTGGGGTGAGTGAGTGAACAACTTTTGGCCCCTCTCTGAGTTTTTCCTTCTGAATGGGAGAGCAGGCAGGGCTCAGTGAGGCTGGACCCCCGCAGATCAGGACGGAGCTCCTCCCCAGACCCAAGACTGATGCCAGCTTGGCCAGACAGGAGCCAGCTTCCCCTGAGGTAGGCACCTTTGAGGTGTGTATTCCAGTGCCTGGTTCTTTCCACTCCCTGGCCAGGTCGGCGGGCTCCCCCCAGGCTGAGGTGGCCTCAGGGTCAGGTCTGAGAAGTAGAAACCAATGTCAGAACATATTCTGGAGGCAGCCTGTATGGAGCATTTTTTAAGCTGCTGTCACTACCACATCTAACTCTCAGGCCTGGAG